ATGCACATGTCCAGATGGCATCGGATTCGTGAATTTAAAGCCCCTTGGCAAGAACTCCCGCTTGTTCGTCCAGCATGAAGATGAGCTGCCTGTGGTGAGGGCAAGCCTACTTGACGTACAGCTGGTAAGAAACAGGGTTAAGGGTTTAGGGTTTAGGGCTCGTAGGAAAACTGAGCATCTTATCCCACATGTTCACACTGTGATCAGGAGCTCCGCCAGAGCGTGTTCCTAAGAAGCTACCTGCAGGAAAAAGCTTTCACGATGGCTACACATCCCAGGCGCCAAATATTTTTTTCATAGTCTTTACTTCTTCATCCAAGATCCAGCAGCACACCATCGTAAGGCACCAGGATCAAGCCGCGACGATCTGCAAAGTAGTTCCTACATCATCCCTATACTCCTTATAGTTTCCATCTTCTTTGCCACTATCCCTATATAACCTCTAATATAACATAACCCTAAACCCTAAACACTGAACCCTATCCCTAAACCCTAAACCCTAAATCCTAAATATGAACCCTAAACCGCTAAACCCCATAATACCCCAATGTACAGTTAAATACGTATCCCCGGAATCCCCTGACCATGGCTACCCCGAAATCCAGGCTCTGATCCTTGTTGCTCCGTGAGACACACGGGGTTTCTCAAAAACTATGTGAGCTACGGACTAAATTCAAGTTGGGGGGACCTGTAGGGGGAATATATAGGGCTTTAGGGGGGACCTATTAAGGGATATGCCCTACAAATTTAGTCCAGGGCTTATGTAGCCCAAGGGTTTAGGTTTTAGGGTTTAAGTAGCCCAAGGGTTCGCAGGGAGGACAGGAAGCTTCCATAGGTCCCTCCCAAGTAAACCATGGCCAATTTGGGTTTAGGGTTTAGGGTATAATATGGTTGATCTCAAATCTTGCATGACCTAGAATACCCAAACCTTCAAAGTATGAGGTACCAAGGATAATGTGAGCCATAGTCTAAACTTCTAGTATCCCCCTAAATAAGCCCTGTAGCAGTCCCCACTTGAATCCTCTCTATATCCCCCTGTAAGGAGTTTAGACTATAGCTCATGTAGGATTGTGGCATCAAGAACCGAAGAAGTCATGCCATGATAGTTGGGGCATTAGGGTTTTGAGGTTTCCGGGTGTGAGAGATTTTGCTTTTCTGGGACAGCAGTACCTTACAGTAGCGCCTAGATTAACCCCCCCTAACCCCTAAACCCTAAACCCTGACCCCCAGTAATGTGGTTCTTTCCATGCGCTTCTTTTGAGAAACTCCCGACTTAGGAAAGATCGAAAGCCGCTTCGCGGCTGTCAATCCAAGATGCGTGCTACTTAGCAGCACCCAAACCTACATTACCTGGCAGACCATCTTGTTCTGACATCGGGATCCAGCTATATGGGCTTTATATAGGGTTATACAGGCATCATGGCAAAGAAGATGGAAACTACTGGTTTTTTTTTACAACCCCTCGGACTTTGAATGTCTGCCGCAAGCGAAACTACTGTTTAGAGTTTAGGGTACCCCAATAATACTGAGGCAAAGGGAAGGGAATTTGGAAAACAATGAAATGGAAACTCGGCTGATAGAAGAATTTTTGGTGGTGGGAGCTAGGTGCATCTAGAAGATATTACCCAGTTGTAGCTTGGATTTTTTCGCTACTGTACCTGGCTTCTGAAGATTGGCCCCTTTCTGGGTAACTCCGCCAAAGAGGACTTTTCTAGTGGGACATAGGACAGTCCAATGCTACAAATGAGGCGAAACACTGCAGCCGACTCCACATCCAGAATTAGTGCGAAAGCAGAGACTTGGGGAATGCACCCTTCCATCCTCACCCACTGCAACAGCTTCACCCCTGAACAATCAAACCCCAGCTGAGTAGCTTTTTTTTGGTGGTTAAACTCAGTAAGATAATATTCTTCATATAAAATACTATAACCAAAAGGAGGCCATAATCTTACTCTATATTGGGTACCATAGTATCCCAAAAAAAATCCTACTCAGCTGTACAAGCATTCCGTTCTACACAAGCACTATCAGCAGTTCTTCTTGGGGCGGGGGGTTTTACACTCTCGAGCGGGGGACTACCCAGAATTAACCCTAAACTGCATCAGTGCATCTGGCTATGGTCAGGTGGCCACTCTAGGCACGCCAGCTGACTGGTTCCGCAGCATGCCTGGCTTAGGCTGGGTTTTGGGTTTAGTTTCAGGGTTGAGGGTTCAGGGATTGGGCGCAACGTTTGTCATTGCTGTAGCGCAGCTGCTACTTGTAGCACTACGGCGCCGTTTAAATCGATACATAAGAAAAAATGAATTCTAGTTTCAGTTCCACTTGAAGCCTCTGGAAGTCTGAGAACCCATCGTAGCACTTGCTGTCAGTTGGACATCCCAAAAAAGTACCCCTATCCTCGCCAATGCCTAAATAAAATCCCAAAGTCATCTCAACAACCCCTAAACCCTCAAAAAAAAAAAAAAAAAAAACTAAGCCCCTAAACTCTTACTTAACCCCCAAAAAATCACCCCATTGAAACCAGGCCCCAGATGCGAGCCGCGGCAGCAGGACGGTGCAAATTCCTGGGATCTGGGACTGCACTGGCTCTTGGAGTGAGCCGTTTGAGGGCGAGGAGGGTTTTGGGTCTAAGGGTGTAGATTTTACAAAATAGACTGAAGGTTGCATGGGTGTTTTGGGGTTTAGGCTTAAAAGGCTATGATTTAGTGCATTCCGTGTCGTGAGTGCAGCCGTGCCTAGCAGTACAAGCACAACGAAGAAAAATTGCAACTTGGGGTGGTGGGTGGTGGTGTGGGTTGTGAGTGCGGTGGCGTCTGAAGCGGTGGCGGTCGCGATGGTACAGTTGGGGGGGTGGCGAGGGTGGAGGCGGGGGGTGGGGCAGGGTTGGGGCAGCAGGTTCGAGTACCAGCCGATAGATGCTATGCTATGCTATGCCAAGGTGCCCAACCGAGACGGGGCTGAGAACAAGCCCTGACACGCTGCCTTCCACATGACCTCAGAAGAAAATCGAATTCTGAAGTTTTTCTACCACACATGAGGAAACCTACCACATTCATGGTACACCCCCCAGCCCACGCCTCGGCCTCGAGCCCCAGAACCCCTAAACTCTAAGCCCCGTAGGTGCTGGACCGATTTCAGGTGCAGGTGCCTCTGAAGGAGGCTCAGGAAGTTGATCCTCATCACCAGTAAGAACAAGATAGGGAGCATGCATGCAAGGATCCACAGAAGATTCGACAATGACACGTATGGCGATGATGACGGGAGCTGCGTGGCTCACATTCTCCCTCCCTGCGAAAAAAAGTGTGATACAGCAGGCTTTCGCAGTTGTCCTGCTGCAGCACCCAGTCATCCGACAAGCCACCTGGCCGGAAACGCGAAACTGGGCCAAAAAGAAAGGAGAGGTGTCCCGTCAGGAGCCCTGCACCCCTACCCTGAATGTTTTCCAGCAAAGCTTGCCACTTACGTCAATCTCCCATTCCAAACCCTGCACTGTCACTGGCACTCCTGGGCATGCTGCCATCTTACTTCTGTTCGTCATGTCCGGAACTCATTCTTCTACATGAAACCATCTGAACCATGATCCTCCACGTCATCATGATCACGACCATCATCGTCATCGTCATCATGATCATCATCACAGCTGCCATAAAAATTACCCACTGCTGGGTTCCGCAACCAAGCCCCCCATGCTAACCCCCTAGTTTTGCTTGAGCTAAGCTTAATTGCCCCAATACTACCTATCCCTGAATAAGCCTAGCTGACGAAGGCATAATATAAAGAGGGGATGGCTTGAGAACCCAGAACTGTACAACCAGCACCACCGTTGCCGCTTAGCACCATCCTCGTCATTACCCCCTTCTCTGGATCATCTGGCCATTCAGCATCACCACTGCCGTTTTCATCTATGTTGATGCCACAATGTCCTGAAAAAGTAACACAACAAACACACGCAGTTCTACGATGGAACACTTGTGCGACAAGGTCATTAGCAGAACTGCAGTTCTGACTCTGACTCTTCGACAACAAGTTGCTCCATACTGCCAATCTGGCAGTTTGTCTGCGCATCAGAGATGATACGAACAGCACCATGTCAGTCAAATCAAAACGGACCGACAAATCGTAAACAGTAGCAATGTGGACAAGTCCAGAAAGCACAAGCGCCGAACCTGCCGACAGGGGCCTTTCTGTCACGGTCACAAGGTCAGTGTGGCGGCTGCTGTGGAAATCTGACGTGACTGTTCGAGCCGTGGTCAGCTTCCTCGGCGAAAGGCACTTCTGCTAGCACGACAAGAAAACCAACTCTACTACCACCACCGGAAGGAGTACCACTAATGCTGCTGCTGCTGCTGCTGCTGCTAATGCTGCTGCGAATGCTGCTGCTGCTGCCGCCGCTGACACCATCTTCTGCTATTGTTTCACGGCCATCTACTACTCTCACTGTTCCTCCCTGGTCCACAAACTCGCAGCCAGGACGCGATGCAGTCCTACCTTTGCTGTGGCTTCGGCTGACAGCCAGACTGCTGCCAGCACCCGTTCGGGATGTGTTCCTTGCATCACAGCGCCCACCACAAACATCCAGGAGCAGAGGGATCCAGCAAGTGATAACAGCAACCAAAGCTTGTCCTTTTCCTGAAGCAGACCATCACAGCCAGAAACGGTACGAATCTCGCAGTGCTTGTACAACACTGCATGCGTATTTCACCCAAAACTAGTGATGATAGCCATGACAAGCCATGGCACAGCCGGCTGGATCCCCCAACGCTCACGGCCTGGTCAGGAGAGGGAAGTCGCATCTGACACGATGGCTGCTGGCTCTGCATACTGCCTGCCCCTATCTAAACTATCCCAATGGACAGGGATTTGGGTGACACTGCAAACTGCCTACCCTCATCCTAAACTATTGTTCGCCTGTATCCGAAAAAAGAAATTTGCTGCTCTATCGTGCACATTTGGAACCCCCAACAAGCTGTTCAACACAAACTGTCCGAGTGAACGCTGGCCTGGTGATGATTCCCGCTGCTTAGGTCGTCTTGGCTCTGGCTCTTGCTTGGATCTGCCATGAGGGCACGAAGTAGCGGTTGGAAAATGGCAGGGGGGGAGAAGCTTAGAGGATGTAAGTGGCCAAACCATGTCATGTAGGCCTTGTTCCATCCCCACGAAAAGGACCGCCCTTTGACCCCTAAATGCTCCGTGAGCAGAGGACAACAGGGTTTATGGTTTAGGGAAAGGTTTTTGGAGGGTTTGGAGTATTTTCAAATCATTTAGGAAGACATAGACATTGGAACATCCCCATATCATAGCCGTCATTGCGCCGATCGAACACTCATTAGTCTTCTTAATAAAGCTCTTCCTCCTTCTACTACTATTACTTCTGTATTAAAACTGCTACGAACACTGCTGCTGGTGCTGCTACTACTACGACTACTACGACTACTACGACAACGACGACGACAACAACAACAACTACTACTACTACTACTACGACGACGACGACGACGACGACTACTACTACTACTACTACCACCACGACTACTACTACTACTATTACTACTACTACTGCTGCT